CTCTCTCTCCTCTTCTCTCTTCTCCTCTTCTCTTCTCTCTTCTCTTCTCTCTTCTCTCTTCTCTTCTCTCTTCTCTTGTCTCTTCTCTCTTCTCTTCTCTCTTCTCTTCTCTCCTCTCTTCTCTCTTCTCTCCTCTCTTCTCTCCTCTCTTCTCGTCTCGTCTCTTCTCTTTTCTCTTCTCTTCTCTCTTCTCTTCTCTCTTCTCTCTTCTCTTCTCTCTTCTCTTCTCTTCTCTTCTCTTCTCTTTTCTTCTCTTCTCTTCTCTTCTCTTCTCTTCTCTCTTCTCTTCTCTTCTCTTTTCTCTTCTCTTCTCTCTTCTCTTCTCTCTTCTCTTCTCTCTTCTCTCTTCTCTTCTCTCTTCTCTTCTCTCTTCTCTTCTCTCTTCTCTTCTCTTCTCTTCTCTCTTCTCTTCTCTCTTCTCTTTTCTCTTCTCTTCTCTCTTCTCTTCTCTCTTCTCTCTTCTCTTCTCTTCTCGTCTCTCTTCTCTCTTCTCTTCTCTCTTATCTTCTCTTCTCTTCTCTTCTCTCTTCTCTTCTCTCTTCTCTTCTCTTCTCTCTTCTCTCTTCTCTTCTCTCTTCTCGTCTCTCTTCTCTTCTCTCTTCTCTCTTCTCTCTTCTCTTCGCTCTTCTCATCTCTTCTCTCTTCTCTTCTCTCGTCTCTTCTCTCTTCTCTTCTCTCTTCTCTTCTCTCTTCTCTTCTCTCTTCTCTTCTCTTCTCTCTTCTCTTCTCTTCTCTCTTCTCTTCTCTTCTCTTCTCTCTTCTTTCCTCTTCTCTCTTCTCTTCTCTTCTCTTCTCTCTTCTCTTCTCTTCTCTCTTCTCTCTTCTCTCTTCTCTCTTCTCTCTTCTCTCTTCTCTCTTCTCTCTTCTCTCTTCTGTCTTCTCTCTTCTCTCTTCTCTCTTCTCTCTTCTCTCTCTCTTCTCTTCTCTCTTCTCTTCTCTCTTCTCTTCTCTTCTCTTCTCTTCTCGTCTCGTCTCGTCTCGTCTCGTCTCGTCTCTTCTCTTCTCTTCTCTTCTCTTCTCTTCGCTTCTCTTCTCTTCTCTTCTCTTCTCTTCTCTTCTCTTCTCTCTTCTCTTCTCTTATCTGATTCTTCCCATCTGTGCTTTTTCGTCTGTTGGTATGGTCGGAATTTTGATTCTAAACTTTCTTTGATTAGAATGCAGAGCCACCACAGGGTCGATGATGATTTTTTCTTTCTTTTGAAGCTGAAACCATACCAAGCCAGACGCTGGAGCATGGAGAAATTGAGGACGCCATTGCGATCAGTGGAGCATCAACTGTCGGAACGATCAATGCATTGAACAGTAGGATTGGGTACCGGGTAGAGTGTTGTGGAGGAACTACGGACAGGACTTGACTCAGCCCTTATCTCAAAATTGTCAGATTTTTTTTGGCAGGAGTTGAAACTTGTCTTTGAGCCATGGGTGGTTCTGGTTTTATGGTTCCATTTACTGCAGCTGGTAGGCAACTCAGCTTGGATATATACATCATTTTACCCATGAAAATCGCTGGGGCTGAAGAGAACACAGGTGGACGGAAACCCGAGGTTTCGGTGGCCCGGCTCAGCCTGCCAGGCTAGCAGAACCTTTACTTCAGCGGAAAGAGCACATATGGATGGCACTTGTCAGCCATGCGTCTTGTTCGCTAGTGCGGGTGGTTGCCACAAAGGGGAAGCATGCCGGTATTGTCACCTGCCCCACCTCCCGGAAGCCCGTGCAACAACAAGAGGAGTTCGAAAGCATACACGCGACAGCATCAAGGAAAGAGTTTCTTGGCTGTTTCTGAATGTTTTTTTCAGCTGGCTTTTGAATTTGTAGCCTCAGGTTTGAGTACCTGCGACTAGTGATAAGGATTGCCGGATTGCCGTGGCTGCGGATTTTAACAATTGGGCCATTCTGCCCATTCTGCCCATTCTGCGCATCCTGCACGGCCCGTGTAAGACTTTTTGCAAGTACTTCGAGTGGACTTTAAGGCCCTAAGTCATCCTAAGACTCTCCCTACTCATGCGTAAATCGGAAAGGGCGTCCTGTGCTTGGCAGTAATCCTTCGCGGGTTTCGAAGCTTGTTGATGCTGCAAGAAGTTGGCCTTTTGTCAGTTGCTCTCGACAGAATATATATCATTACCGTTTTAAGTAACTGTACATATTCCGAACATCAGCGGGTTTGTCCTGAAATGGTTTATGTGCGCAACAATGGCATAGTGACATGATGATCAGCCATGATACAAAAGGCATTCCAAAAAGGTAAACACGGTAACGAAAAGGTCGCGTCATCTCGGCGTTTCTCCCCTTAGGTCTTGGCGCTCCTCTGCCCTCCGGTGGACCGGGATGGAGTGCATGAGCGTTTGCAGGAAGAAGCGGGTCGGCATCCGTTCGGGCGCAAGCTGATCATCAAGTTTTTGGACGATCCTCCGGAAGAGCATCGAGGTCTGTAGCAGGGGTTCCGAATCTGATTGCCTCTTTGATGCCTGAAAAACTCAGGCTACTATACGTTCATTAGTTGTTTGTTTGTTTGCTTGCTTGGTTGTTTGTTTGTTTGCTTGTTTCTGTTAAGATGCACTGCCTGACTGCGCCACTGCCACTCCGTGGCTCACGCGCAGCTGAGACTGGAGAGACCATTGAGAAAACTGTAGAGAGAGAGAGAGAGAGCGAGAGAGAGAGAGAGAGCGAGAGAGAGTGCTGACTGTACTGCACTGTGTGTTGCACTGAAATGCTCCCCACCATTTCGCATGGTAGCGGAGGGCGACTTCTGGGTCGACTGGACTGGGAGTAAAAGTGAAACTCCCACAGCCTGAGAAATTCATGGAAAACTGGAAAAATGGGAAGAATGGTCATGGCAAGTGAAGTCGTACATCTCGCTGTTTCATCCAGAAGTGACTGAAGTGATGTATCGCCGAAGTTATTGATGAGAAACCGAATGTGATTGAGCAAAGTGAGGAGGCCATCATTGGCCTGGTAGTAATCAGTAGACAGCTCCACTACTTGCTGAGTCAGATCACCACTGACAGCGCACGACTGAGTGTTCGCAGCGAATGGGAAACACTGAAGAATAGGTACGGGCGCCTCACTGGAACAACACTGCCAGACACAATCCTGGTAGCCACTTTGCTGAACAAGACAGCTGGCCCACTGCAGCAACACTTGCGTTTGAACGTGCGCACATTGGACACGTATGAAAATGTGAAGTCAGTAATCTTAGCGTAATACCAATCGCGTCATGTCACTGGCTCAGGGACGAGCACTGGACCTGCACCAATGGATGTAGGAGCACCGAGGAAAGGCAAGGGACGAGTAGGACAGTACCACCTTGGCCATTGGAAAGGAAAAGGTGAAGGCAAGGGACGAGTAGGAATGTACCCCCTTGGACTAAAGGGTAAAGGAAAGGGCAAACTGGACACAGGTAAAGGAAAAGGAAAAGGGAAACTATTCACCAAAGGAAAAATAACAGGAGGTAAAGGATATCCGATTGGAAAAGGAAAGGACAGACCTAAGTGTTGGAACTGCGGCAACTATGAACACCTAAGTAAGGATTGTAAAATGGTGAACGCTGTGACTGAAGGTTAAACTGATGAAGACTATGGAGAACAGGAAGACTAGACTGGAGAAGAGGATTGGACGGTCTGGACTGGAGCCGTCACTGATGACTATGTCTGATGACTGGTCATGGAACGAATGGAACGCATGGACTGATGACTGGGGCAACTGGTCATGGACCGACAGTTCGTGGACTGCTTCAGGAACTCCATCGACTCAGGAATCGATGGTACCAACTGCTGGGACTGGGCCGAGGCCAACTGTACAGAATCAGACTGCGCAGAGCTCAGGTCGTGCCTCGTCAGCACAATACATTGTTTTTTCGATCCCACTGGATGGACCCAGCACTGTTCAGATCACTGACTTGGAGTCGGTGGCTCGAGAGGACACTGACAAGAGCACTGTTCCTTACTTTGATTCACTGAGTAAGATTCATGATGACTGTGTTTTTTTCCCCAACAGTGTAAGCTAATGGGCTCTTCAGCCCAAAATAGCTCCCGGTGTGCACTGGTGTAGGCGCCAGGTTCAACGAGGTTCCGGAGAAGGTTCCGAAGGTTCTGGAGAAGGTCTGGGAGGCTTTGGTACAGAGCCAGGTCACGTTCACTGGGGTTCCAAAAAAGGTTCTGGAGAAGGTCAGGTTTAAGAGGGTTCCGGAGAAGGTTCCGGAGAAGGTTCCAGGAAGAGTTGGTGCAAAGCCAAGTCAGGTTCAACAGGGTTCCGGAGAAGGTTCCAGAGTCTCCAGAGAAGGTTCCGGAGAAAGTTCCGGAGAAGGTTCCGAAGAAGGTCTGGGAGGCTTTGGTGCAGAGCCAGGTTCAACAGGGTTCCTTCCGGAGAAGGTTCCGGGAGGCTTTGGTGCAGAGCCAGGTCAGGTTCAACAAGGTTCCGGAGAAGGTTCCGGAGAAGGTCTGGGAGGCTTTGGTGCAGAGCCAGGTTAGGTTCGGTTCCAGAGAAGGTTCCGGGAGGCTTTGGTGCAGAGCCAGGTCAGGTTCAACAAGGTTCCGGAGAAGGTTCTGGAGCCAGGTCAGGTTCAACAAGGTTCCGGAGAAGGTTCCGGAGAAGGTCTTGGAGGCTTTGGTGCAGAGCCAGGTCAGGTTCAACAGGATTTGCGGCCATTTAATTCACGGGAACCCAGCTGAGGTGTTTCCAGCGCTTGGCTTCGCAGCACGCTTCAGAAGGATTTGTGTCTGGACTGTGTGAGTTTGGAGAGTGTGTTCTGTTCCGAACTCCAGGAAAACTGCGTGAGAAAGGGAACACTGCATGGTTCAAGGGTATTTGGCAAGGAAGAGATACTGAAGCTGATGAAAACATCGTCTTCACTGGAACTGATGTTGTCAAAGTGAGAACAACCAAAAGAAATGTTCCATCAGCACGGTGGGATCGTGAACTGTTTCTTACTTTTCTTTCCACTCTATGAGATCCGAAAGGAAAGAACACTGAAGACACGAGTTTCGTGTTGCCACCGTCACTGACTGTCACTGGCAGAATGCGATCACCACCTGGCCTGACTGCTCCAGGAGATTCTGAGGACACCCAGGACGTAGTGATTGGTAGCCAAGGAATTGAGGCTGAGACCCTGGAAAGAGAGCACGAAAGCCAAGCAATTGGATATGTTGGAGTGTGCGCAATCACAGTAGGCGAAGCTGATGCACCAGTTGAAACAAATACAGATCAACAAGAACTGAAAGAAGAAATGAGATTGATTGAACCGCAGCTGTTCAAAGTGGAAACTGAATATCCTGAAGAATTTTGGTTCCTGCCATGATGAAAGAGATGGACTCTATGAAAAGGTTTGACGTGTACGATGAAATACCACTGTCAGAGTGCACTCCTGATGAGACCAATGGCGCGCTCCCAACTAAATGGGCCAAGGCCTGAAAAACAGCCCACACTGTCAGAGCACGAGTAGTTTGTCATGGGTTGTCTTCAGGAGCAAATCGACCCTGATGTACTTTATGCAAGCACACCCACACTGGTTTCTATGAGGCTTCTCCTGTTGATGGCAACAGCCAGGAACAGGACAATTTCTACATGCAGCCATGCTCGGCACTGTGTTGATCGTGCCGCTGAAAGAGTTTTACCCAAACCAAGACTATCTTTAGAAATTGAAAAAGGCTATGTATGGCCTGAAGCAAGCACCTCCCTTATGGCAATCACACTTCCAAAGTGTCATGGATAAACCGGGTATCAATCGATGCAAAACTGATGCTAACTTGTATTGTCATGAGAGTATAGGTATGTCCTTTGTTATGTAGATGATATTCTGGTTCGCGGTGATGACCCACTGATTGAGGAGTGCATCAGGAAACCGTCAGAAGAAGTTTTACTGAAAGTTGAAGGTCACCCGACACAGAACCTCAGCAACCTTTCTCGGCAGAGCACTGGGACGCAATGGAGACAGCGTTGACATCTCCGAGAATACATAGACAAACTGCTGGACATGTATGGCATGAAGAATTGTAAACCTGTTCAGACCACCGGAAGCACAACAAGAAAAATGACTGAATTCCCTCACTGGAGAGCACAAGTTGTTTCGTGCTGCAGTAGGTAAATTGATGTGGTTGTCACTTGTTCGCCCAGACACCTCGTACTCCACTAAGGAACTGTCTAGGGCCTAGGGATGTCACTGCTCCAACTGAGGATCGTGTTCAGAAGCTGAAGCATTTGCTAAGGTATGTCTCTGGTACTAAGGGGCTGGTTTAGAGACTGCGACTGCGACCAGGAATGACCTTGAGTGGACCTGACTGCAATCTGGACTTGAACTGCTACGTGGATAGCGACTGGGCTGTATGTAATCACACGCGTACGAGCACTTCGGGTATACCATTATACAACTGCCAGAGTGCACGCTAGCAAGTGGATCGCGCACTGAAGGAAATATCGCACTAAGTAGTGGCGAAGCTGATCTGTATGCTCTTGGCCAAGGGATCAGTCAAACACTGTACGTGCGTAACTTGTTGCTCGAAGCAAAAGTCGCGAAAATTGTGAAAATCAACGTGCGCACGGACTCAACTGCTGGAAAGGCTACCGCGTTACGCTTTGGCGCCGGTAAGGCAAGCAAACGCCTTGAACTGCGTTACTTGTAAATGCAAGAACTGGTTCAACGTGGCGTCCTGACACTGAGAAAAGTAGCTACGTTGTTCAACTGCTCTGATGTTTTGACCAAATACGTAAACCCCGACCTGTTGAATTCGCACTTGACTAGGCTAGGTGTTGTTTCCCGTTTTTTCTAACTGTAAACTCGATCTGCAGCGCCTTTCACACACTGAAGCTTAATTTGGAAGGGGAGCTTGTCACTGTGAACTGTCTAAAACATCTCACTGAAGTTTTCACACGTTTTCAAAGAAGGAGTTTTTTCCTGAAACGGCACAACGTTTGAAGGTGCTGTGAGTGCCCAGAACTGTGTCAACCTTTTTTTGAACTGGCTGACACCAGTGTTTGAAGAATTTTCTGAACTGTAACTTTCGTCTGACAGACCACTGTATAGAGACTGTGACTGATAGATTGTTGACCGCCTCCACGCTGAGCAATGGCGCCTACTGCTGCACCAGCTGCCGTCGTGGCGACTGCGCCCACCGCCGATACTGTCACAGCAAGTGGTCACTGCTGTGGATCAATCAAGCACTGTATGGCAGAGTGATGGGACCACTGAAGGTTTCCCACGCTGCAACTGGACCACCGCCGGAACTGCTTCCTGCAGAACTGGATGAGGCAGATGCTGAATCGAAAGGCACTGATGGAAAAGATGAAGGTGATCCATGCTGGCCGCTTTCTTCTCCTTGCCTGTCCACTGCAATGCTTCTGTCAGTGGCGGCGTGCATGGCCTGAAGTATGAGCGCCCGGAGCTCACTGGGAATGCACTGAACCTGATGAGCTTATCTGCACTGCATGCTCGCTGTAGCGG